ATGTCAAAAATTCTGTGTTTTTCTGTCAATATGGGGTGCTGTGTGTACATTAATGAGGAAAAAAATGAACAAATGATTTTAGCATATGGCTGCAATATAACAAAGAGTGAAAAATTTAGGGGGTCTGAATACTTTCCGTACCCACTGTAGATCTGTGTAGCAATGTAGACATCCCAGTGTCTCCCAGTATTTACCAGTTTATTGATACAGTCTTCATCAGGACCATAATTTTAATTATGTCTTCTTCAAGACTACCACCAAATGATGTTCAATAACTAGCTTTGCAATTATTATTAGTAAGCAATACATTTAGTAATCATTTATTACAACCTGGTAAAGTAACTGTAAGAGTCTGAAGTTCACTTGTGTTTGTTTGTGTCTTTGTCTTATCAGTAGCCTCGTAAATGTTGCTTGCTGTGGTAGGAAGGTAGGACTTTATTGATCCCATAATGTGGAAATTCCTGTGTTCCAGCAGCAATAGAGAGCAGCAACAAAACACCATAAGAACAAACACCACACACATATCTTGAGAAGCAGATTCCAAAGTACCTAAAACCAAACAGAATATAGTATTTGAGAGACAATCAAGAACAAGAATGATCCTCCCACAATTAATCCCTGAGAACAAGTCAAAATACCTAAGAACAAGACAAAATATAATATTCAAGAGATCAAGAAATCAAGGACAAGGATATTACTCCCATAATTAATCCTGCAATGGGGGAAATACCTGTATTTCAGCCATGATGATCTCTGAAAAACAACAAAAAATATATAAAGCAACAGCTTCATCCCGTTTGCAGAAATTGCGCAACACATGCTGCATCAAATGGATTATTGTATTTTATTTTATTCTACTTTATTTTATTTTATTTTTACGATTCTTTCATTCTTTACTGGAACCTTACTGGAAGGCATATTGGACTAGAGATCGTTGGTAACACATGTAGCCAGACTTCCTTCTATCTTCTATCAGCAGGTGTCCTGTAGGTGGCTGTATCTGTGTATGTGTGTGTGTGTGTGTGTCTTTAAGAATACCAGCCTACCTGTGAGCATAATCTAAAGCCAACTGTATAGAGTCACACACTAGTTGGTGGTCATTTGCTGCTGCTCATCACACATCATACGCATCTTTGACTGAATCTATAAAGGCAGCGCAGTAATTCTTGCTCTTGAGCGGATGGCATCTGTCGCTTCCGTGGGAACTCTCTCCAATAGGAAACACACAGCAACCAGCTCGCTTTAAATGCGGACATGGGTGTTTCTCCAGGCGTGAATTTCCACGCATTTGCGTTCCTGGCTTTACCATTTCGACAGTGATCGCTCCGTGTTGTCGTTCACACCGTGATGTTTTGCATGTTGATGTCACTCTGATAACTTTGCGGGACAAATAGCACTTTTGTGTGGATTATTGTGCCTGAATTTGCAGGAATGGTTCACAGGAGCGCGCCGCGTCCCCATGCCTTTAGGAAACAAGTTCAAACAGCGCTGGCTTTGACCATGCTTTGACACTTTCATCATTTTCTAAAGAAAGGGAAATAATGAGCAGCCACAAGGGCGGTGGACTGGCATCTACGGAAAAGCTCTACGAGCTCTGGATGTTGTATTACACGAAGGTGAGTGCGAGTGCGGAAGACCTGGTGACACCTGTTGTTGTTGCAGGTTCTCTGCCTGAAGTTTAGAACATGACCCGAGAAGCAAACACGATCAGATGTGATGCGTTGCTGCTGCAGCCGTGTTGCGTCTGTTTGTTGTATGCGCTTATACAGTATGAGGAAGTAGCCCGTTTTGCTTGTTTGTACAGTAGCAGTTTGTTTACCTAGTAGTGGAGGCTGGGCTGTTCAGACTAGAGAAGGATATGCCACTTGTGACTGTCACTGAGCAAATAAATGTGTTGAAACCATAAAGTAATAAGGGCATTTAGAGCAGATGAATCTGCCTAATGAAGTGTGCTTGGTCCTGTACCTGCCATACAGGTGTTACTGGCGCTACTTCCTGTTCTCGTGCTCCCCTGTCTCTTCTGTTAAAAACTGTAAAGTAATGACATATGTATGTCATGGAGCCTGTGTTATTGTGCAGGAAAAAGACACATTCTTGCTCATCATTATTATCCGAGAGCTTCCAGCAGCGCAAGAACTATTACTTTATGGCTCAACTATTAAAATTAGTATTACATTTCTCTCTGGTGTGAAAACTTATTCTAATTTGGTACTATGCTAAACAGAGTGTCAATAGTTTTGTATGGTTGCCCCTTGTGACTGTAGCTCATTCCTCTGGTTGTTCATTAAAGTGCAGTATCTTGGTAATAAGGGCGAAACTAATTAATAGTAAGAGGTTACTGCACTCACTTCCATGTCACACCTCTCCTTGAAGGGGAAAGGCAGTTTGGCTGCAAATAAATTATTACTATTTAATGTGTTTGCAATCTGCTTCCATGCCTGAGGACAGAGAAAACAAGGAGGGACTCCCCCTGCTATCTTCACAGCAGATCTTAAAGAGCTACTCTCTTGATGAGGATAAAAGATGAATTTTTCACTATAGCGCACTGAATTTTATTTGAATTGAGAACTAGGATTAATCTCACTGCAGAAGTGAAAAAACCAAACCAGTAAGTGTGTTGCCACATGCAAGAATTACTATCAAAGTGGTCACTTTGGGCAGATCCCAGAGGAAGTGTTTTTCTAATCCACCCTGTTACTTCTTCCTTGGGCTGCTGCTCTAGATTTGCAAAATGTTCCTGGTTGTGCAACGAACAAAAGATGTTGTCACAAATAATCCACTGGTAGAAAGAGCCCTTTAGGGGGGGGCTCCTTGTATTGGACTGTGGTAGCTGCCTAGCATCCCTATGTGCAAAATGACTTCCTCAGTAACCTCTGTTACTTCACTACAATTGCCCTCAAGGCTAAAAGAACAAAGTTTAAAATATGCACCCCCACCCTTGTATCTGTCTTTCTCTACACACCCACATTTCTCACTGGGTAATGACACACATTTTCAAGCTTTCTTAGAAGTAGATTTTGCATGTATGCAGATAACCCTCCCTTATTGCCAGGCTACTATGAAGGATGGCAGAAGAAAGCGATTTACTTAAGCCCAGTTTTAAACGCCACTACCTTATGTGACTCGAAGGAAAACAAGGGAGGGCAGAAAGGCTGTAGAACCACTTCAGAAAACAATCGCCTACCCTTTCTACAGATGTTAACATGCATATGTGGAGTTTTTGGTGTCTGTCTTTTATTCAAGTTAGCACAGACAGACATCCCATTTTCACCCCCATGCCTTCTTTTTTTTCTGAATTATCACACATCAGTGGATGTTTTGACTATTGCAAATGAACCAAATCGAACAAGAGACCTGAGCTCTTTTTTAATAGGCTTTTAATGCTGTAAACAATCTTTTATGATTGTGGCAATGACCTGACACTCTGTTTGAGTCACAGCACATACAGTACATCCAAGTAGCTGGTCTGATCTAAATTTAAGTCTAAAACTACATCTGTCTTTCATGTCTCTGTTGGTGAAGCTGACGCTCCCTGTGCTTGTTCATGTATTTGTTGCAGATTTTTGTTTGTTTTTGTTCAATTCTGCATTGGTACACATTTGTTCAGAGGTTCAGTAAACTTAAATTGCAGTAGATTATTTGATTTTACAGTATATAAGAAATTCCTAATGAATCCTAACAATTGATGCTTTTGAGTACATACTCAGGCATTTTTCTGTATTTGCAATATTAAAAAAAGCAAAACCTGCTCAAGCTTGTCGATGATACAGGAGCTCTGCTTCCTCCAATTGTGCAAAAAAATCACACACACACATTTTTCAAATCAGTTGAGTTTCAGGACTGACCTGACATGGTGATATTTTGACGTAGCCTTGTAAGCTGACCCCAAATGAGACATTTTTTAGTACAAAAGACCAAACAAACAGGCAGGCAATGACAGATAAATGGATGATTTTCTGCCTAACAGCTTACCTTTTAGACCAGAGATTTGATTATTTGCTAAAACTGAGACAACTGTGTACAGATACATCAGTATCACCATTGGCCTGCTTTTGTGTCAACTGCATTGACATTGTAAAATTGCAGTGTTTTTTGCTTATGAGAATATTTTACAGACCATCCTAAAATGTTCATACCTGACAGGTATGGACTCACACAGCAGTCTGATTCAACATAACTTGTTGGATCATGTCTGGAAACACTCCAAAAGGCATTGGACATTTCCCAAAGTCATAACACAGCAGCTTTTAACAACAGTCTTGTCTGGTTATGTTTCGTTAATCGAAGCTACACTTCGAGGATGAATTTAATAGGTCATTTGATCAAAACAATTCAATGACAAGTGCTGGTAATAACCTACCAGGGTCCAAAGTTAAAATGCCCCAGACAGTTAAAATATTCAATTAACAGTAATGCTAACACATTTTCTTCCTCCAAGTCATACAGGTAAAGCTCCAGACCTTTAACTGTCATAATGCTGGATGGAAGTGAAGAACAAAGAGGCATCAGTTTGAGTCACTAAATTTCTATGTGGAAACAGTGAGATGACAGGCTGGCGGAGAATTAGCCTGTAATTATCCTGTGATCATTAGCTTCAGAGAGGGCTGGAGGGACTAATTAAAGTCAGCAGTTATAAAACTGGACCACAACCTGACTGCCGCCCATTGACACAGCTGTGAAACCACCTCCTCTGTTTGCTATGAAGAGAGAACTAGTCACATTTCCTGGCTTTTGTCACCACATAGTTAATTACTCTGCTATGTTTTAGTCTCAGTTACCGATCATGCCGTGATGCAAATGAACATAATGCAGAGATACAACAATAACAACTACCAGCTTACTACGGCTGTCCTGTGAGGCCTGTGCATCAATTCCCTCATGTGCCCGCATCTCCCCTGTTTACCAACAGAAAGGCCAACCAGAAAACTCAAAGTGCTCTTTGCTTTTACTTGTGCAGGAAGCTGGAGCGAAGCAGAATGCCAAGCAGCAGAGGGTGGCACAGCTGCTTGGCCATGTGCAGAGAAAACAGGGATAAATGACACTGTTTATAGGGGCTGGAACCTCATGGTTGATTTGTGACATCTGCTTTAATAGTATCTTTAATTTGCCTTTTTTCCTGCCAGCATACATCAAACTAATGATGAGCTAGTTTCTCAGTGCAGAGAGAAACAAGTTGATAGAAGTGAAATAAATGGAAGTTGTAATATCATGAGGGATGTTTTTAGGATTTGGTTAAGGGTACACACACAAAGCACAACTCTACCAGGTGTCTGCACCAATTTTGCTATAAAAGCCTAATGTGTTCTCTCTGGTTTTACTTCATATTAGCAAACCAGTCTCAATTCCTATCTGAGTTCTTTTTTTAACCTTAGAGATCCACCTGTTGCAGTTCCACCTGCAGTAGCTTCAGTGTATCTAAACAATATACCCAAGTATCTGCACTTCCCAGGGAACAGAAAAGCTGTTACTTCCTTTCATACGGCGCTAGTAAGCTTACTTACAAAGCTTACTGGCTACATTCAGTTTGAAAATCTCAGTTGTAGTCAGTATATTCTCAGCCTGTTACTGTATGTCTTTGTACATTGTGACTTCCAGTAGACAAAAAACAAAACAAAACATTGATGACATACAGTATCTCATGCAACACAGAAATAATAAAGTGCCAAAGCTATTGTAAAAAAGCTATTATTAACACATCCTCAGTAATGTTAGGGTGCATTTAGTCATTCAGCCACTGTATATTTTAGTGGAAAGTGAAATATAGCTAAGATGTGTTGCAGATATTTCTGTGTCCCTACCTTTTCTACTGACTTCTAAAATACCTGATTGTCCAGATGTTGGCTCCACAAACAATAGGTTGTTCTCAGCTTCCTGTTTTCACAGAGCACAGGCAGAGAGTTTATACACAGTATTTGCTTGCTAAATGTGTTTTTTTAATAACTTGCTATTCAGGTTCAGTTTTAAAGATCAGAGTGATGGGGTGAATGCATTTCATCTAGAGATATGGCATTCATTGCTTCAAACTCATTACATTTGAGTCTTTCCGGTTTCTTACACAACTCAGTCAGTGATGCATATTACAACAGTGAATATCAGTGTTTCTCCTGCAACATGTTGTGGTTGTGTTAGGTTTAGAAAGCATGTATCCAGTCAGTGCCTTTCATTGTTGCTGTGGGAAATTTCTACAGAGGCTGGCGTCATGTGTGCTCACGACTAGCAGTTGAACCAAAAGAGGAAGAGGTTTGATGAGGAGCCCGCGTATGAAGGAAATAAGCTTTGGTTAAAATGGCATGTCATTTCCTGGTTGTTTGCTTGATGCGGAGAGACAAGAAGCAAGAGCCTGACTCTGGTGCTGGTGTTTGAAGTGATGTGCAGCTGCTGAACTGCTGACTGTGGATTTACACTGAAGGCTTATCTGAGACTGGGTTCGCAAGAACCTGGCACCCTCCTCAGCTGCATACAATGAGCGATGGACTGGCCCATAAGTCAATGCCAGTTGGTAATGTACATTTAAAATTAATGCAGCCTTAGAGAAGACGTTGTTACACAGTAGTTTTCTGAGTTAATTGCAGTAGGTTTCCATTTCCAGTGTGATGCTAGACTTTTAACCTGCACGCTACACATGCATTTTGTGCCTGTTGGTTAAGGGGAAGTACCTGATAAATTGGTGCACCATGTGCTGTTTTCAGTATGTTATTTGTGTACAATGAATCAGCCAGTCTGAAACAACTCATGTCTTCCCTCGCACCGCCTGCTCTGGAGAAGCTGAGGTCTCAAAAACCTGCACTGCTTTTGCACATGTTCATCTAATCATAACGCTCAGGTTGTTCCTTTACATCATACATGAGGGAACATTTCTACTGTAGACGTCCCGTGTTTTGTTAAGTTATTTCGTAATGCCAGGTTCCCAGGAGCACAGGAGTGGCAGGAAATGTAGCATCGTAGAGGCTGATTAAAGCCCTGATAACAAGTGTCATATATAATAATCTTCACACATCTTAAATGACATTATAAGGACGTGGTAATGCAGTAGCTTGTTTAAGATAATAAGCTTACAGTGAAAAGTTGTTATTGTATGGTTACTGCTGTCTACTGATTTTATGGTGTGTGGAACTTATGACTGATCTGGGTACATGGAACCTGTTGATCTGATTTCTTTTAACCTTAGTATTTTGAAAAAGGAAAGAATTGGCTCATGTGGTTCCTCTCTGTGTTACATCTCTTTGCAACATCCTGTTACAAAAACGAATCATAAGATTTAGTTGAGGCCGAGGTTTCAGCTGTAGTAGTACAATGACCAAACACAATCATCGAGAGCATATTTCATTGATAAAGCTTGCGTAACTACACATATGTCACAGCTGCTGTATCATTTACGCTGTTTACACTGCTGTGCATTGCGGTGGCAATTTTTATTATAGCACCCCTTAAGTTTCCACAACAGCATGTGCCCTGTGGTGTGAAAGAAACTTCTTTGCTTCACATGTTCTTTCCTTCCTCCTGCAGAACGACGTGGGCTATTTGCAGCAGTGGCTTGAGGCATTCGTGGCCTCCTTTGAAAAGCTCATTGATGTGCAGTCACTGGAGCCTCGAAGGTGAGTAGCAACAGGAATTTTGTACACAAACAAATTAGTAGTTCCCACAAGTTTCTGCTCCCTAAAGCTGAAAGACCTGCCTCTTCTGTTTTTCTTAATCTCTCCTTCTCTCCAATCTCCCAGGCTAGATGAGTGCAACTCAGAGGTGCCCTTACTCCCCAAGGAGGTCCTGGTGTTTCTCAGCACCCAGCTATGGCACAGTGCGCTGCATCTGTCCAGTGCCACCGAGCACAACAGCAGCACTCCGCACCCTCTGCTCCTCATCAAGTTCTTCATCATTGTCTGCAGGTGAGGATCCAACATGCTATGTGCAAAATTGTGAGCACTGTTGCCCTACCTGTCCTTACTGAGCATGGATTTCCTTCTACTTCTAGGAATATGGGGAACATTGACCCAGAGAAGACCCCTGGTTTTGTTTTTGAAACTATCAAGCTTTTGAATTTCTGTTTGAGCCAGGTAAGGCCATTAATAATTGTGTTTTAAACAGGACACAGGCTACAGTGATCTACAGTAGGAAGGCGCCTGGGTCCACACCATGCTCAGTATATCATGCATGGCGATGTTATTTAGTGCAGAGACAGGAAACCTGCACAGAACTGATTCTGTTTATAATGTGACATCCTCATACAGAAGTAACAGAACTAGTTTTTACTGAAAAGAGAACTGGGTGTGTAGCTATCCTTCTATTCATTGCACTGGAATGTGTTATATTATATTTGTTGCATGTTAAAAGGATTTTAAAGACAGATATCTGTGTGCTGAGGATGAGTTACAGACGAATGTGTCTCCCAACTTGTGTTTCGAGCAGCTAAAGCAGGGAGCAGGGGAGCAGTCGTCTCTGCAGTTGGTTGTGCAGTATGGACTTGTGCTATGTGAAAGTCTGTTTGACCCTTATCAGACGTGGAGGAGACGCCTGGCAGGGTAAATATGTGTTGCATTACGCTGGAGACTGCCTGCATTACTGTGTGGGAGTTTGTCTTTAGTTGCACAAAGACCAAAGGACTTATCATACGCATTTAACATCTTGCTCAGTCCTTTGTGATGCATAACGCCTCATCTTGTTTTCTCTAAGCTGTGAAGTCAAATGTCATTAGTGCCAGTAGTATTAGTAGTAGTCACACAGTGACTAGGTGTGATGTGAGTAGGAGTGTAGTGACGCAAGGCTTTGTCTGTTGCAGGGAGGAGGTGAGTTTGCTGGAGAGGAACAAGTATAAGTTCTCCCCGCTGGCCTTGCCAGAGGAGCTGCCTGCTTTCTTCCACGGTGAGACACTCCCTTTGTCTGAGCTCTGTCAGACCTCACGTACCACAAGAATCCATCTGCTGCTGCCCAGGCATGGCTTAGATCTGTCATCTTTGACTTGAAAACGGTGTCCTTTTTTTTTTTGTTTTTGTCAGAAATATGTTTTTATATTGAAAAATTTTCTTGTCAGTTCACCCAATCAGTATTTTTAGAGTCCAGTTGTCGAGTTCCAATCACCAGAGTCTAAGTATTTCTAATTATAGAAACCCATTTGATTAGCAAGCACTAATCTGCGAGCCATGTGGGAAATCTTAGCCTGGGCAAGTTTCAGTATGTTCAGATTTTAGGAGGATTATTTCATTATATGTGCTTTAATTGGAAATGAGCTAATTGTGCAATGCCTGGCCAGTTAGTAGGGTTTAGGCTTCTCTGTTTGATGTAACCTTGAATGACAGTGGTGGCTTTGCAAGAGAATTTTGCTAAGCCAATGTACCACATGCTTTTTACAATTTATATTTAATTTTTTGTTAGTCATTTTTTGCACAAGGGTATCTTTTTCATAGTAGCATGGAGCCGGAGGCAGTCCCAGTATGCATTAGCTTATAGAAGAAGAAAAAAACAACCAAGAGAAGCAATAAATGTGTACTTAATATATTGACAGGACAGTCAATGTCTGTTGTGGTTAAGTAGTAGGTGGTCTTGTGTAACATTGCCTCTTGTTTGACTACATGATCACAGAAAGTCTACAAGACAGTGAGAAGATCCCAGAGCTCCTCACACTCCGAGTGGTTCATCTCCAGGGTGCTGTCATCAGCGGAGGAAAGGTCTGCTGCCTGAGCTGTCCTCTTTGTCAGTTATTATACTGCTGTCTCAGCACACACTGCAAGTGTAAATTAAATTTGTATTTTTCAGAAGAACGGCCTTCTCTCCATCACCCCTCACTCTGTTGAGGACCTGTTCTCTGTTCTGCGAGCATGGTGCTGCCGGACCTCCTCTCAACCCAAGGACACGATGCTCCCAAGGATAACCTTGCAGTGTTTGACCGCTATGATCCACCTCCTGCATTCCAGCAGCCCTGCAGAGAGGCAGGTGGAGATCAGGACCATATTGGAGAGCTACTTCCAGCTCCTCAACTGGAACCGTCCACTTAGCAGTGAGCAGCAGGACAGGAAGAGCTGGGAAGACAGTCTGATTTTGCTGCAGAGCCAAATGCTAAGTAAGAGCATTTCCAGTAGGTCTCTAGCTGAGTATAAAGCATTCTTTTCTCTCTCTCTTTCTCAGTCAGTATGGAGGAGAAATCATTGATTCCTTCTGTATGTGATAAATAAGATGAATCAACATCTGACTTGTTAATTTTAGCTGCTGTTCCTGAGATCCTGCAGTGCCCTGACAGACCAGTCCTGCAGGCTGTCTTCCTCAACAGCAACTGCTTTGAACACATCCTCAGGCTCATCCAGAACAGCAAGGTCAGAGCCGCGACCCCTGTGCCTCTAAAATGTGTCTGTCTGCTCTATCGTCTCTTCATATCTGTTGTTCCTCCCACTCAGTCTGTCACCTCTTGTATTTATGTTGTGTCGATTTCCCCTTGTATTTGGTCAGTGTGACATGTTACAAAAAATTCAAGTTGACATTTTGCTTCCATGCTTAGGACACATGTAGCCTGCTGCAGCTGTAGAGGGACCAGGATCAAACCTGTACTGAAACTCTCACAGATGACATGTTGTTTAACTGTCTGTGTTTGTCTGTTGTGTGTATGTGTGTGTGTCCTGTAGCTCTTTCAAAGCAACAGGCACAGACCAGAGCGTGAGGTTGTGTGTGACCTCACTACAGAGGTACTCACAGAGGTCGAAGTGGACCAGGTACTTTCCCTCCCACTTGTCTGAGCTATTTAAACAGGAAGCTTCGGGCAGGAAGTCTGGCTTACACTCATTTGTAAATAAAGAAGGTAGCGAGGCTATGATTGTCATCTGGATTTCCATTTCATCTGTTGTATCTGTCCCATTGCAATGCAAATCTCCTGAAAACCTATGTTACATGTCATTTATTGCTTTTGTGGCCACCGTTTGCTCCGCTTGAATCCAACTTCGAATACATTTAAGGACAATCTGCTGTTAGCTTTGTTAAGATACAGATTATCAGATGGAGGAATCATCTTCGCTCATGTGGCAGTGTTTATTTATACCACATTCACTGTTAGAGGCTGAATTCCCTGTTGACAACACTTGGCAAGAAATGCATGTGGTGTTTTACACGGTGCATGAAATGGTTGTTTTTCAGTGCGTGTCTTTTCCTCGTATTTTGGTTGTTCTGTCGTGTGACTGGTTGTCCTTGTATGAAAAACCTGACTTGTGTCCTGGAGTTTGATGTTGCTTAATTTCCAGCAGTAGTTGGGGGTGTCCTCAGTCTTTTTTGGCGATTGTCTTTGGGTTTTGCATGCTGTAATGTAATCAGAAATTAACAAAGAGGCAACTGTTTGGTGACTGGTACAGCAGTTCATTTACTTTGACCCAGTCTGCTTCAATCATTTTGGTGTAGAAAAAAAAACTGTACTGCCTCATGCACTTCATAGATAACTGGAACAAAATTCCTGCTTTCATCAAATGAAAGATTTGTTCAAAATTGACCTGCTTTCTTTCCTTGTGTTCAGTTTTCAGGCTTTTGGTATCAACTCACAATGATGCACCTTTTTCGCTCTGTAATGCCGTAATCAACTGTATCTCATTATTTTGATGCAGGTTTGGGAGAAAGGATCAGACAGTATTACGGTTCATGCACTAGAAGTCCTCACGGCTATAATGAGTAGCTCACCCTCTGCCAAGGTGAGGCCTTCTGTGATCTTTTATAGTCACAACCTATACCTTTCATTCTTTTATACATGAATTATCAAGCTACAGTGCCTTCAGTGTGCCTAATAAAGAAAGCTGTTTTCTGCTCATTTAAGAAATCTCATTGTATTCCCTTCTGAAGTATGAAAGTGTGCCAACAAATTATACTCTGTGAAGCAGCTTTGTCTAGCCTATTTCTCTCTCCTTGCCCCTCAGGAGGTTTTCAAGGAGAGGATTGGCTACTCCCAGCTGTTTGATGTGCTGAAGAGTCAAGGTCAACCCACCAAAAGGCTGCTGCAGGAGCTGATGAACATGGTGAAATGCACATTCCTTTATTATCCCCATTGAGTGCAGAGACAGTGCAAGCCAGTTTGCTCTTATTGATGACCTTGTTCCTATTTAAGTTGTAGTAGTGCTCCTTAAGCTGAAGTTGCCTTGTCATGTGACAGTGTTTATATCTTACTTTCATTCTCTGCCTTCTCTGCTTCTGTCCTGCTGTGTCTTCAGGCAGTGGAAGGTCAGCATGCCCACGCTCATCACCTTGGCATTAGTAATGACCAGCCTTTGCTGCTGCTCCTGCAGTGGCTGCCCGACATGTCGGGTCAGAGGGACCTTCAGATGCTGGTAGCCCAGTGGCTGGCTATGGTCTGTCGTGGCTCCTTGTCTTGTTGCACCGTGGCTGTGGAGGTAGGCATGGTTGGAGCTCTGCTGCAGGTGCTCTCCCAACCCCAGTGTCTGGACAGGCAGTGTGCAGATGCCCTGCTGGGCCTCCTGCAGCACCTGGGCTCCCTGTGTCTGAGACCAGAGGAACTGAAGAGCCTCCTCAGACTGCTGAGGGTGGATCAGGACAGTGGTGCAGCGACATGGAAGGTGCACCCATACTGCACTCGCATGATCCGAGTGCTCTCGGCCATGGCAGCCAGAGTAGGCCGGGATAGTGCCCTGCAGTACTTTGATCTTACACCCCCCATGGCAGGTATTATGGTGCCCACAATCCAACGCTGGCCAGGCAGCGGGTTTGCCTTTCATGCTTGGCTCTGTCTCAACATGGAGTTCCCCTCTTGTCATTCAGAGTTCTCTAACAACCCTAAACCTCCTGCCAACTCTGGCACAGGAGCTCAGCATGACATGGGAAAAGGGCCACGCAGGAAGCAACTCTACAGGTAAAGGAACACGCAATGTGAGAATTAGGTTCTGTTATATGTATGGCTTTATAGTGAAATTCTTTTCTTTCTCTAAAGTTTTTTCACAGCTAGTGGAACTGGGCTAGAAGCCTTCTTCACCATGGAGGGTGTGCTGGTGGTGGCCGTCTGCACTAAGAAAGACTACATGGCTGTCGCTCTGCCAGAGCACCCGCTAGCTGACTCACGCTGGGTGAGTGCGGACACATACTGTGTAGTGCAGCCAGGATTTTGGCCAAGACTTGTCCTTATTTAGCCTGTTTAAAATAAAAATAGATTTGACAAATTAGAAAATCACACATCATTTTTCTAAATGGTGTTGCCTGGGCCTGTAACATTTATTCTTAAAGGAAAACTGAGGAGTGTCCCACATGAGAAGTACTGTACCTAGACATGTTTATTATTGTATTGTATCACTGGGTACCCCATTAGCTTCCAACTGAGGAAGCTGGTCTTCCTGCGGTCTAGTTAAAACAAATTACAAAAATAAATGAAACCTCAAAATCACAATTAAAACATTCAGTACACAAATCAAAATGATTATTCAATCTCTAATAGCTTTTACATTAATACAAACATTTACACCCTTACAAATAAACAAAATAATGATACACCTTAAAATGTCTAACTTTAAAACATATAGCCTATTAACAAATTAAAGATTAACATTATATTAATTTCATTGTCTATTGAGAAAATAAAATATTGCTTCAATAGTTTTTTACAGATATGTTTACTATTTATTTCCTGACCTACTGATGGAAGCTGATTCCATGCAGACGAACGTCTATATATTTCCTGTGAGGAAAATCTGTACACACTGACAAATTAGCAAAAAATTATGGTATATTTTTATAAGCTGTATCATGCATAAATAGCAACAAGCTAGATTTTAATCTTAGCTTCCACTGTTCTCCATTCCATCTGTCTGTGCATCTCCCTCACATTGACGCTGAAAGGATGTGAAGAATCAATCTCACTGCTCTAGATGTTTGTCAGTATGTTTAACTCTTTAAAGCTGTGAACTGTGACTGTATGACTGCTTTTCTTAATACAGAAAGGTACCTTTCTGTAAGCTCCAAACTACAAGTATAAAATTAGTTTATTCCAGTGTTGACCAGCATTTGTGTGCTCATTAATGTCATTCTTATCACAGCATTCAGTGGCAATAGTCCACATCCCGGGTCGTCGCCCATTTGGTCAGAACCTTGTGACCATCTATATTGATGGAGAGCAGCGTAAAACTGCTCAGCTTCGCTTTCCGTCATTCAGTGAGGTGACTGAAACTAGTATCTTATGTATTATCACTATCGGTATGTTGTTCCCCTCCATCTAACTTCCTCTGTTTCTACTCCACCTGAACCTGATCCTGAAGTCTTTTACCTCCTGCTGCATCGGCTCTGCAGGCCACCGGACCACTACCACCACCACCTCCCCTAACCTGCCCCCGACAACGTTCTCCAAACCACCGTCCGAGTTTGCCTTCCCACCCCATGCCCCCCCCATCAACCGTTCCCGGTCCTTTCCAGCAACTTTGTCAGGAGGCCGTTGGGGACCTATGAGCGACTCTTCTGTGCACACCATCCCAGCAGGACTGCAGGACACAGAGTGGGGAACACCCACATCACTGGATGGTCTCTTAGGCACGGCCTTCATCTGCCATGATGTTCTGCAGCCAACCCACACACGAGATCTATATGCTGCAGGTAGGCCACACTATAATTTGCTATAATTGTTGTAGACATTTATACGACTTGAGCAGTTAAATATTTCAGCATTTGATTAAATTTAACAGTCAATCAAATTCACAGAAAACTAGTAGTAAAGAAAATCACCATGGGCAAACAGTTGGAAAAAAAAACTCCTGCATACATCGAAAACAGGAGCATTTTCTCACATAAAATAGTGTTGACCTCCATTGCTTTCTGCTCTCCATCACAGGCCCCAATCACGTGTCCTTATTCAAAGTGGATGGAGAGTCAGCTGATCTCAACAGCAAACTTCTGCTTTACTACACTCCACAGGTGACACTCGGGAAATGTATTGTGTTACTGGGCTATTATTATGTGAATTCTAAGTAATATCAGTAAACTATTCTTGTTTACATGTATATATATGTGTGTTCTTCAGGCCTTTAAGAGCCAGATATGCCTGGATCTGTCTCCCAATCACCAATATGATGGCAGACTGACAGGACACAGAGTAGTGAACTGGGACATCAAGGTTAGATATGAAACCTTTTGACATTTCATTATTATCATTAATGCAACAGAGTGAGGACTGAAATATGTCATCATGTATCTCCGTGCTGTCTGCTTATGACCTATATACTCTGCTGAAAATGCATTGTAATGCTACTGAGTCAATTTAAACTGTTTTCACAGGAGTTTTTTTGCCATTATCTATATTTTATTTGTCTCCATTCATAATTCCATTTCTGATCTAACCAGGGCTTTTGTTTAAAGTGATAAAACACGATGTGTATTTCTTTCCCACTGCAGGATGTTGTGAATGTGGTGGGAGGCATAGGTGTTTTGCTTCCCCTGCTCGAGCAGGCGAGCGAGGCCGAGCAGGTGTATAATGGTGGTCAGGAAGCCTCAGACCTGTTAGGACCAGAGCTCACATCCGCAAGAGGCCCCGCTGCCATGCTGCTGCCACTGAACAAGTCTGCAGGTCAGTTCATGTTTGGTTTAGATATTCACAGTGATTAATGTTTTTTCCTACACTCTGTGTTTGATGTAGGTGTGTTCATGAATGGAACTGTTCACCCAGATTACAAAAAGATAATTTTCTTTCAAATTTTCTTATCACTTGTAATATCCAGTTTTGTTTGCCCATGGTTTGAAATCTACTTCTCAAACTTGTCTTCATCTACATATATAGAGGATTAACAGCAATTTCTACAAAGGGAAGTTGCTGTTGAAATTTTTAAATGTAATTTTTCAGTGGTCTGTTCTTGAAAGACCGTTCACCTCAGTGGCATTTTGGTGTAAATAGAAATCTCAGGGCTGGGTATTTCAAAATCTGAGCAAATCAAACAAAATGCTCAACACAGATAGATACATTAGATGTATGTAGGTCAGAAAACATTATGCTTTTGTTTGTAATTAGTGTAAATGAACCTTAAGTACCATAAATAAGTTTTCGTCTGTGCTTTTGGGGAAGGTACATCTGTGGCTGTTACTGGCTCCATTGTTCAGCTGTAATCCTAAATGTTCAGCTCACAGAATCAGACTCCACAAACATTGCATGATACAAGAACAAACAGGAAGTCAACAGGCACATCAGACAAACATTGTGAAATCAGTGGTAATACTATAGGTTCAAAGCCAGAACTAGCATAGGTATAGCGAGTCGTGACATGCTAGACGAATTGCAGTTCAGTTTGCGTAAATTCTGACATTTAAAAAACCAGCCCTGTTATAAATGAGACAAGTACCCTCACTTATGACTCATCCAGAGATACAATAACATCAATAATGTGTTTAGTAATGCATAAAATACAAGTGTGGGTAACACAGGAAATCTTAACAGTGATATTGCCCTATTTTTTTCTCCACAGAGAGCAGACTAAAAATAAACTGCATGAGCCGGCTGCACTGTCATGGCCCGAGCATCATAGGAGCCATGCTCAGCAAAGTAAGTGCCCCTCCAGCCAGTTTGCCCCAACACATTAACTGTGAGGAGAACAGATTAGCATATAAAAGTGAATGCTTGACCAGTCCACTGTACTACTGTGGTGTAATCGGTGTGTAATAAATGGGTATGGTGTGGAAACAGCAGTGGTTCTTCTAGAATGACAGTATCACATGCATGTCAGGGGGATTTTATGTAGATTTTGCTAGATTATTTTCGGAATGAGAACAAAAGATATCAGCTTCAAAATCCATTGTTTGAAACTGATGTGTGCAGGAGAATTATATTTAGAGTAAAACCAAATGGAGAATGACATAATAGACATGGATTAACTGTTGTCACTCCTGTTGTCAGTTCTTGGAGTAATATTTAATATTTTTGATACTTGTTAGTTTTTAAACTGCTTGGTGGGTCTCAGCGTAGCTAGTTATTTCTGGACGGCTCACACACGGAAAGGTGATTGAGTCAAGAAAGGGTGGACCCAGATAGCTGACTTCAGTGCAATCAGTAATTTAATGGTGCTCAACAGTCTATATACAGTGCAGTGAAACATAAGATAAACAGGAATATGAAAACTAGAGAAACCCGGTGCCGATCAGCAACACATGTCAGCTCCATGCAGTGATGATGAGGGCCTAGCTGCGTCGCTGGGGTCACCCCTGAGCTGGTCGGTGGAGAATGGAGGTTACTGAGAAGCTAGAGAAAACAAGCAGGCGATGAGCAGATGGAATCGGGTGACTGTGCATCGACCTGGCTGGTGTATACTGGGAGGGTGGAGTAGAGCCCAGGTCCGGAGATGGCTGTCCGTGGAGGAGGAAACAGGGCGGTAGGGACGAGAGGGAAAAATATACAAGATTGCAATAGATACTTGGTCAAAAGGGAAAATAACAACAGTGGCCCAACAAACTGGCAAGGGAGTGGTAAGTGAGAAAGACTAATGAAGTGCAGCTGGTGATAATCAAGGGGTGTGGAGCAGGTGTGGAAGGTGGTGTAGTCAGGACCCGAAAAGAAAACAAGGTGAGGGATGTGAGAGAGGCAGGTGCAGCCAGGCAAACCTGACAAGTTATTTTGTTAGCTTTTTGCTCTTTATGTAATTTGTGAACAAAAAAGTTAACAGCTAATATTTGAAATTAATGACACAGCTGCAAATACAGTATAGTATGTACACAGTGATGTAGACAACTGTATTTGATTCTTTTATTGCCTTGTGATGAACACTAGAGTCTTTCAGATTTTAATTTAGGTAAAATGGGAAGCAAAGACCAGTGATGAGCCCAGTAGACCTCATTCAGTAAGGCGTTTGTAGAGCAAATGATTTCTTCAGATTTATGAAAACATGCTGTATGTTTGGGTTCAGAACTTTACATAGTCATACTTTATTCATAGGTGTGAATCTTTGATTGCTGTAGCCAATCAGATTTTGCACTGGAGCAGCACAGACATGCTGGTTGTGTGGCAGGATATGTTGAAATATATGGTGTTAAGGTGGAGCATTAAGGTGGAGCATTAAGGTGGAGCATCCTGTCAGAAAACTACTGTATGTCCTATTAATCATACGAGGTTGCCAGCTTATGTAGTACTCGAGGGCTGCAGCTAACAGTTGTTTTTATAATTATTTGCTGAATTTTTTCTTAGTAAATTGATGAGTCTTTTATTCTATAAAACATTAGAACAATAGTAAAAAAAGAGTTCAAGGTGACATCAACATCCAAAACCCAAATGTATTAGGAAAGCAGTAGGAATTCCAGCATTGTGTTATTGTCCTGCTCCAGCTCGGCACTTTGGTGGATGGATGAGCATGCAGCCGTTCTGCATTATTATTTGCTGGTTTACACAAAATATTATATTTACAGTAGGAAAATGAGGAACTTCCATATTGTAGGAGCTGGAAATGATTTTTAGCTTTTTCTTGAAAATTAATGAAACAAAATGGTTTGATTGATTAACTGAATCGGGGCTATTCATTCTTTGCGCATCCGCATGTCCGCTTTGGTCGAGTGAAGTAATTTTCATTATCCCAGGTCCACGAGGGTCTGTGCGGACTCTGTGCAAAAGTCCACGTGCAGGCCAAACATCAGGACTGTGTAAACAAACAGTCACCACAGCAAAATCGATGACTGCACATGTACCACAGTACTTCGAAAATGTAGGCATACCTGTCTGTGTCTGTGTACGCATGAGGGTATGCACAAAGTATATCTAGCCCTTATCAGCTGTACAGTACAGAGTACACAAATACTTGTAGTGTGTGCACTTGACTAAGTGTAACACCTCTTCAGCCTCTATGTGTTACTATAAAGAGATGCTACAACACTTGTACAAAATAAATCCAAAGAAATGGAAACATCCTCAGACACAAACACACTTGAACACTCCTCCTCTTGGTTTCCTAACCTGCAGGTTCCAGGCACGATGATGGACATGAACGTTTTAATAGCATGTCAGCTGCTGATTGAGCAGGTTTTTAATGAGGGCAACAGTCGACTTCTACAGCAGCTCTACCAGCACCTGCTCTTTGATTTCCGTGTCTGGACCAGAAGCCATTTTGCTGTTTGTCTGGGTAAGGCACAAGGAGCTCTCGTGATGTCTAGTAACACACCTGTGAACCTTTTCATGTCTGCTGAAGCTGTTTGTGTCCCTTTTATATGCATATGCATGCCAAGACTGAAAGGAACAAGGGGAGGCTAAAAGCACCTTAGAGCAGAGATGGAATACATCAGTGTTTCAGGTTTTAGTTGTGGCAATGATTAAAAGTGAATCTGTGTCTCAAGCTGCCCTTCAGTACCCTGCTTTGTAAATTATTGCTTTGGTACAACCCTGCATATTGGTTTGACATTTCTAAATGTCAACCTGAAAGGTGATTAAAAAAAGAATTCCTTGTCTTCCAAAGCCCATGTGCAGTACCTGGCATCTGTGATCAGCAAAGGCAAGCAGCGCGTGAAGCGGAAATATGGGGTTCAGTACATTCTGGACACCATTCGGATGTACTACAGGTGAACCTTTGACATCCACATTAAGAAGCAGATGTCCAGTACTCTACTTATACTGTATATTAAGAAAATTCTGAGCTGATTTAATTGAAACTGCAGTTCAGTGTTTGACTGATTGTTTCTGTACTCTATCTTGGACATAGCCTGGAGAAAGATGGTAGCCCTCTATCTGATGAGAAGCAAACAATTCAGACCTCTCTGTTCGTGTTGCTGAAAGACTTTCTCAAGTCTCCAACACAAGAGGAGCTCCACAGTGTCCTCACCTACATTATCTCTGTAGGAGAAGAACAGCAGGTAACACTCATGTGTTATCTGCGTTTCATTTAATTTTAATTTCAAGTTTAATTTTGCTATCACCTGACCCTTTCAGCCTGATATTTCACTTTCACTGTGCCCAAACGGACTCTCCCTGATCATCTAAACTTCTTTTTTGCTCTTTTTACATTCTTCTTCCAATCAGGTAGTGAGGGCTTTGGATGTGCTGTATGAGCTGTTGAGGAGCAGCCCTCCCCGTGAACAGGTGCAGGCCGTGCTGCTGGAATGGGGCGTGGAGCAGCTGTACAGTTTGCTGCTCACTCCACGTTTCGGAGACAAGGCCAGAGAGAGGGTGTTCAGGGTGGGAAAAACTGGAACTCTTCTTGACATACTTTATGTCTTGACAGATATTTGTCTTGTACTGCCAACTTACATTTGATTTGATATTATCCAAACAGATAAAGTAAAGTCACAGTTTCCTTGTGGCGTTGCAGGTTTTGTACAAAATCCTCAAGAGTGAGCGAGTGTCCGAGCGCAACAAGCAGCGAGTTAAGCTGAAGGATTTTGGCTACCGTGGCCTGGTGTGTTTGCTTGAAGACATTCCTGTCACTATGACCATTGTGCGCTGTCTGTACGAGCAGGTCCTTGCTACAGGTAATAATGAAATAAGCCCTTTCCTTTGGTCTAATAAACTTAAAATGACCTTTATACTGTGAGTATTAAAACACCTGTTTCAAATATTAAATCTTTCTCTTTTAACACTTAAAAATCTACAATCAAAATTTAGAAAGATGACCATCCTTACTTATATCTGCCCATCTCTTCATCTGCTGTTAATTTCCTAATCATTTCCATGGTCCTTTCCTGGAACAAGCTACAGTATGTCAAATACAAGCACATGCCAAAAAAAAAACAAACAAACCTGTCTGCAGGCAGGCAGACAAGTGAAGAATTTTCAAGAATAAATAAATAATGCATGTCTTACCAGTCTTAGTACCAAATGATAAAATATTTCAGAGGAAATTTTTAATACCATGAAATGAAGTAATTTCCATGAGCTCACACTGATGCATGTAGCATAAATACACACATTTCATATCTTTCAATATTTCATACCGGTTTTATTCTTATATTAAAAGATAATAAGTAGATTTAAAAAGGATCCAGTCACTTAAAGTAGAAGGCTGAGTAAAAACTAAGTTTTCATTGACTTTAAAAAAAAACAAACTAAGTTGCTGCTGCCACCCCACAGATGCCAGCCCAAACTTCAGAGACCTCCTAGCTGTGGTCTGTCTGTCACATCGAGCTGAGCTCACTGTCCGTTTGGATGTCTGTCGCAAGGTCAGTCTGCTCATGACATTTAAAAACTGCCAAGTTTCATTCTAAGTGGTAGTGAGAACAAGCTCTCCATCTATTTCTCTCTAATATGACCGCAGCTCTTTCATCTGATCTACTCCAATGAGGATTATGTGAAGCAGCTCGCTAAGCAGCCTAGCTGGCAGGATGTTCTCACCAAACTCTACGTGAAGGAGTCCTATGAGTCCCACACTGCCAGCAACAATAGCTCCTTGGAACAGAACTTCCGACCGCCGCTGCGCAGGGATCAGTCTGTGCTCATAGAGGATGTGCAAAACGACATCTTCCTGACCTACCGCAACTCTCAGGACATGGAGGATGAGGAGGAGGAGGATGAACGTGGACAGCGGGACATCTCTGAAGGATTTTCTGACGTATCTCAGTCCCCTCCCAGTGGTGGTGGAGGCCAGCTGGAAAACTTCTCTGGCTCCCCTCATTTCAAGTCGTTTGATTCAGTTGACCAGGGGAGCCACTCATCCTCCATCTCCAATCCAGTCGATTTCACGACTGCATTGGAGACTGCATTTGGAAATACTGCAGAGGTGAGAGATTACCAGCCGCTCTCTCCCTTTGGTACATTGCCTTTAGATTTGGAGCTAGGAGTGATGGGAGAGACTGGCACACCCACTCCTGCAGGCAGTCTGACAAACACACCATCTCCTCTAGAACATTGCAAACCATTTCCACTGCTCAGACCCAGGAAGAGCTCCAGTCTTTCCAACATACTGGATGACACCAGCTATGGGACAGACCCTCCAACTGGAGACACAATCTCCAATACGTCCAATCCACAGGTATGATGCTTTCTTAGGTCAGAGTTTCATAATTTTGGAGTCTTTTATTTATATATTTGTGTTGTTTTACTTCTTGTCTGCATGAGACTGGGACTGAGTGTTTTTATGTTACAGCAGACCCCAGAGGAGGAGCTCTGTAACCTTCTAACTAACATCATCTTCTCCGTGCTGTGGACCGGCAGCGGGGCTGAGGGGAATGAGGATGTGGTGTGGAGAGAGAGAGGACAGGTCTTTTCTGTTCTCACTAAACTGGGGTCCTCCTGCCAACTGGTGCGCCCCCCTGATGACATCAAACGCAGGTCAGTGACGGTGATTTCAGATTTATGTATCCTGGCAAAACATGTCTAAATATCCAGAAATATTATCATGTGATGTATTCAAAGTCAAACTGTGTGCTAGTTTGCTGGAGATGATGCTGGAGTCGTCGTTGTCAGACCTGAGGGACGCCCAGGGAGTGACTCTGCCTTTCTGTCCCAGTCTGGTTCGACTCCTCAGGCTCCTGCAGGACTTTCTGTTTGCCGAGGGCACAGACAACCACACTCTGTGGAGTGAAAAGGTATATCACATACCCCATCTTACATATACTGTACAGTATGTACCCCTTTTGGTGATTCTGTTACTGTTTAAGATGGTCTACTCTCCATCTTTATAAAGGTTGGTTGACTGTGAAAACAGCAGAGTCAGTTATGGAAATAAGGCCAGAACTTATCATTCCCTCCCAGACAAGGTCTGAGTATAATAACACTTTGCTTAGCTGAAGCTCAAATAATCTCAAGCTGTGATGTTTCACTTGTATTTATTTAGTCCAAATGCTCTTGCCTTCAAAACATATCTTGTTCATGTACAATGCAGCAAGAAATAACTGATTAAAATTCAAATTAATTTCAAAATTAAAGGGATATTTAAATCAAATATGCTACTGTAATTATTTTAATCTATGATGTTGTATGAAAGATTTTTGTTAATACTCCTGTTCATTTTGTCTCTAATATTCAGATGAGAAGATTGATCCCACTGTCTGTTAGATATGAAGCTGCAGCCAGAAACTGGTTAGCTTAGCTTAGCTTAACACAAAGACAGGGAAACGGCTAACCCAGCTCTGCAGGTGGTTACCAGACAACCCAAGGAACAGTCCAGCACATAAAACCCTGTAAAACCAACACAACCAAGAATAACATGGATTTTGTTGCTATTTGACAAATCCAGCTGTTTCCAGGTTTTATGCTAAGCTGAGCTAACCCGCCGATGGTTGTAGTCTTATATTCACTGTACATGAATGAAAATGAGACCAGTCATTTCATATCACTCTCAGCAAGACAGAAAATAAGAATAATTCCAAAGGTGTCTAATTTTGGAAATACTATCTCCTCACCAAACTCAGTGGGTTTGTTGGGTCTAGTGAATCACAAACCTGTGTGTTACAGCTTGCTCTCTTTAAATACTGTACTCAGCACCAGGAGAATTTCAAATGTCCAGGCCTTAGAGCAACAATCAACTTTAATTTTGTGATCCATATTAATGTGCCTTTTGCCAGACTTTTGAAGTGACTCAGCTTGTGGTGCACGATGTGAAACGATCTGTGAAGAACCTTAAGGATGTCGATGTCCAAGAAATGCACAACAATACTGTTAAAACAAACAATAATGTTAAAATCTTTAAGAAAATAATTAGTTTAATAATGTAATATTTAATGATAACAGTCATAAATGAAATGAATAAGAAACATTAAGTGTTTGAATGCCAGGACGTGATGAAATTTTGTTGGCTGCAACATTAGATAAGTAAAGGAATATTAATTATGTTAATGTTAAAGCCATCAGTAACACAGGTCATTACATTTTCCAAAGTGGCGACAGCTGGGCGTAGTCAGTTACTATGTTTAACATCGGGGAAATTCTTCTGCCTTAGTTACTGCAGGGTGGAGAGTCAGGCTTGGATGCAGGTAGCACCTGAATCACCTTTAAAGGTTAAGTTGTACATAATGAGTGTCAGGTTTGGTTATTGTAGATGGTGCAAGGTGTGGAAACAGGTTGAGTCCCTTGTTGACAGCCTTTATTGTACTACAGATCTTTGAAGGGGTGATGAACCTGCTGGACAGGTTGAAGGCATGGCACAGCACCCCTGGCAGCCCCGGGAACACTGAACTGAAGGAAATGGCTCAGATCGGCCTGCGTATCATCACCGGATATATCCAACAGCAGCACTCTCAGGTCAGCTGCACCCACAGCTTGTTTGTCCCGTACCCCAGCCATAAATGTAAAATAGTTTGCACTATTCATGTATTTCACAACCCAAACAGCTGTAAGGTTGAATGCATTTAAAGGGGTTGCAATATTTATTTAGCTTGTTAAGTGCATTTAGACAAAAACCAGTTTAGAAATACCAAGCCTTGTGTGGGCTTCTTTTACAAAAACAAAACAAAACATTGCAGTCAGTCCTCTTGGGGAGTGTTCTGTAGGAGCTACTCTAGTTGAGTGAATGTACAATACAAGCTGATGCATAAAAGAAATTCCTACATAATTGGAAAACTGGAAAATACATTTACTCAAGCACTGTACAGTTTTGAGGGACTTTTCTGCTACTTTATACTTCTCCTGTCGACATTTCAGTGAGATATTGTACTTTTTACTTTGTTAGATTTATTTATTCTTTATTATTTATTTGGATTCCCTATTAGCTTCCACATTGTGGTTGCTAGTATTCTTGGGGTCAATAAAAACAACAACAAACAATATCTGACAGCTACTTAGTTTGCAGATTGAGGTTCGTCTTGCAAAACATTTAATTGGTTTTTAAAATGTAATGAGTTGGCGAAGAATAAACCAATGACAAGTATGTAACAAGTTCAGTTTACCTCTATGACATACTGGAGTAAAATTTGCTTGTAGAATGAATTCATCAGCGTTAACAGTCTAATAATACAATATATACTAATAGTCTGTTCTTATGGCATTATGTTGGTTGTTCTCTATTGCTGCTGTAACACAAATTTCCCCACTGTGGGATCAATATAGTATCTACTCTGCTCTACTCTACTCTACTCTACTCTACTCTACTCTAGTCATACCATCACTGATTAAATCCATCTTGACAAAGAACCCCCGATGTAAATCTTAGCAAGGACTGAGAAAAATAAGTGACATATATATATTTTATTGTATTTTTTATATGAAATGAGGAGATAGGCTCTCAGTTGCAACTGATCTCCTCTTCAGGTGTGCGTGATGGCCTGCGTGAAGCTCCACAGCCTGCTCCAGACTGTGCTGTGTCTGAGCTGGGAGGAGGTGTGCTTCCTCCTGGGGAAGCTGGGCACCCCCCTGTGGCCAGAAGGTGTAATGGATGACACCAACTGTGGAGAACCAGAGACGTTCTCCCAGCTGGTGCCCATTGTGCGAACTCTACTGGACCAGCATGCCGACCCCGTCTCCCTCCAGAACCTCATGCCCAACCTGCCCATTACCAATGGTAGTGCCACGTTCGCCCAGGACCTGAAGGCTTACTCTCGCAAACTAGAGTGGAAGGAGTTTTACCAGCAGCAGGTCAGTGTTTTGACCCACAGCGTGTATTTAAAAATAGGTGTCATTTGTCCTTTTAGGGAGTCTGGAGAGCCTCCTCTCCAGTCTCACAGTCCAGTATAACAAAATATCTATAATGAACATCCACTCTCAGATATTCCTGGATCTGTTCTTCGTCATCTTAGTGTGCAGCACTGGATATTTGCAGTCTTGCCTCCTGCTTTGACCAGTTACCTCCCACTCAGTGGCAAAGAAATACAGTATAAACTTTAGAAAAATGCTATCACCAATTTAGAAAGAACAGGCCGCCTTCAATGTATCTCAGGCAGAGATAAGTTTATGCTTGAGCTTGAAGCTGAGATATTTTGTGAACTAGTGCCAAACAGACACACTCACCACTGGCTGAGCACAGATTTATCTTCACACTGTGTAACATTGCATGCTCATAAATCCGTTTTATTTTGATTACCAGCAATACCTTTGGCTGCTATAGCAGTTTTGAAACTTGGCCCAGGCACATACTGTACAGCTGAATGTGTGTGCGTTTGCAGGTTATTTATAGTTTATGTGTTTGTTATAAATGTGCTGTGTATGTATTTTTGTTCAACTTTATGTTCTTAACATAAAATGGTAAGATGTAAGAAGTGAGGAACACAGCCAATGGGTTTTTGACAGTGAAGCAAAATTATCTTCTAAAACAATAAATAAGCAAAGAAAAATGGTTAGTGAAATGGGTCATTCCTGTTTCACATTTGTGCACTGAGAATCAGCCTGTTATATTTGCCATAACATTATGACCACCTTCCTAATACCGCGTACACAGGAGACAGTGCAGCAGTCGGTCGCCACTCGTGTCACTCTGCAGATCACTGTGCATCTTCTGTGAATCCGTTTCCATAGGTCATGTTTGGGAACAGAACAAATGTCGACCATCCAGTGAAAAACATGTAAAAGGAGTGAAAACTGTGGCTGTGAAGACAACTTAGAGATAATATTTAGACCAATTCAGCAGCCTCCCCACTCTGGGTGTGACATCACCACTGTAGCTGCTGAATGTTTCTCTTCATAGAGACCAGTGTTCAGTGTTTCTCATTTTCAGCCTTTTTAACAAAGATTCAAACAAAGTGGAATCTTTTGAAAAGGACGAATGAAATTTAAACTTCAATCTACAGTAGATCAACCTCATCATCAGTGACCATCCATGACCCTGTCACTGGTTCACTGTTTGTCCTTAGACACTGTTGGTAGGTACTGACCACTGCAGACCAAGAACACCCACCAAGACCTGTAGTGTGGGAGACGCTCTGACCCAGTCATCAGCCATCACAGTCTGGCCCCAGTTCATGCTGGGAGGGTTCCCAATACATCTATCTTATGTAAATGAATCACATGATCAGAACTCAAAGCCAATGAAACACATGCTGATCATGTTTTCACTTCTCTACTTATTTAGACTTCATTTAAAGTGTGAATGCAAGATAACTTCATCCAGGATTAACCAATCAATCCTCAGACTGTCGTCAAGTAATCAAATTAGCTGGATAAGAGCTTGATTATTTTGGCCCATTAGCATATTAGCCTGTATTATTGAAGAGCAAGCTCCTGGACTCTCCATCAAGTGCAGCACTGGATACACCGTATATTTATATGTGTCCTCTTTAATCTGCCTCTAGGTTCAGCCCACCATGGAGCAGTATGAGCTGGACACATTTGGGAGGAGCCATGACATCATGTCCAATTTCTGGAACTCCTGCTTTGATGACCTGATGAGCACAGCCTACAGACGGGACAAAGACCGATCTGACAGCAAGTCGAAGTTTCAGGTTGAGAACTTTCAGGATTTATACTCACATTGTCATATAACAGCTTGCTAAAATATAGATTGAACTTGTCAGATTACTAATTTGATATTTGTGACTGTGTAAAAACAGGAAGTGATTGTTGGCCCCTGTCTGAAGCGAGTCAGAAGTGAGAACAACAGGTACTTCAGTTGGCAGAAGCAGAGCTCCAGCCAGCAGGGGGTGGTGTGGCAACACTGGAGAGCCCTCCGTAGGCTTTTGACCAGTGAGAGAGGAGCATGGGCCAACAAGTATGAGAACCTTTGACTTTCAACTAGCAATTTCTTTTTACTTTATGTGTAAAGTCTTCTGTTTTGCTGTAAGTTGCACCAAAAAGATGTAACAAACATGTGTCTGAGACTATGCCGCCTTTTTACTGTTACTTGCTCACTTGTATTTTTTTCATTTGCCCTTTTTTGACAGAGTTCAGCCAGAGGTGAAATGGAAACTGTCCACTGCAGAAACCTACTCAAAGATGCGACTCAAACTGGTGCCCAACTACAACTGTGATCCTCACACTGAGGCCAGTGCCCTGAGGGACAACATGGGTATGCCGCAGAGTATAAACTTTCCCTTTTTGTCATTTAAGCAGAACCCCACCCTGAAGATCTTTTGGGTTTTTGTGATTTTCAGGAGCGGACAGCCCTCGTAGCTCTGAACCCCTCCCACTGGCTGTTGCAAAAGAAGCAAAAGTGAGTGACATGGAGGATGATCAGTTAGGAGAAGAGGATGTCATCTTTCTGGATAACAAGTGAGACTCCAATTACCAAGACATTTGCACTTCCATGGGCAATAAACACTGTAAAAAGTCACTTCACATGCACCACGCATACCGGTTTTGAAACCATTTTCACCAAATAAGCCTTTAAAATGTTTTAAAATCATTGAATACACAGTCCAACTCAGTATGAAAATCCCGATATTTTCTGATGCAATGCAGATAATCTGAATTGTCTGACACTTTCAGGGTGGAGGGAGAAGACGAGAACCAGAAAGAAAAACTGGTTCTGTCTGAAGACTGCGAGCTCATCACCATTGTGGCAGTTGTTCCGGGTCGTCTGGAGGTTACCACACATCATCTGTACTTCTATGATGGCAGCAGTGAGAAAGAAGAGACAGAGGAAGGTAATGTGTGTGTTCTCAAACATGACACCTGGTCTTTTTCACTGTTCTTCAAAGGGCGCTATCAAAAGTGAATATCTTCTTTTAGGAATTGGGTTTGATTTTAAGAGACCTCTGTCTCAGCTCAGAGAAGTTCATCTGAGGCGCTACAACCTGCGAAGATCTGCACTGGAGCTTTTCTTCATAGACCAGGCGCACTACTTCATCAACTTCAGGAAGAAGGTGATGCTCACTTCAGATTGAGCTCCTTCTGCTCATTCATCTGAGTGAAATAATAGATGTTTGTTAAACAATGTGGGGATGTGAAAAAAGCCTTTGTTTGCCTTTTCAGGTACGAAACACAGTATACTCCAGGATCCTGGGGCTGCGGCCTCCCAACCTGTTTTACTTTGGCTCCCGTTCCCCCCAAGAGCTACTGAAGGCATCTGGGCTTACACAGGTATTTATTTTTATGATGCAGAGTTATTATAATCTGAACTGTGCTCATTGTGTTTGACCACTGATGTTGATGTATTGAACAGAAATGGGTGTACAGAGAAATCTCCAACTTTGAGTACTTGATGCAGCTGAACACCATTGCTGGACGCACTTACAATGACCTGTCACAGTATCCTGTGGTGAGTACACTGCATCTTCACTGATCGTGTAAAGGACCTTTGTATTTATGATTTCATAATTGCAGTTAAATGTGAGGAGTCATATTTTTGTGTTGCTTTTGTCTTTAGTTCCCCTGGGTCCTGTCTGACTACACTTCTACCACGCTGGATCTGGAGGACCCAGCAGTTTTCAGAGACTTGTCCAAACCCATAGGTGTGGTCAACTCTCGCCATGCACAGACCGTCAGAGAAAAGTAAGTGGTTAATTACCAAGATGATTTAGTTATTGTTTCTTCTATTAAAGGGTTGCAGATCAGAAGACAGTTATCAGTTTTCATATATCTATAACAAGCACTCAAATGCAGCTCTGTATTACCACCTGACAACTGCATAATGTTGTTTGTTTCTGTTTAGATATGAGAGCTTTGAGGACCCAACAGGCACCATCGACAAATTCCACTATGGCACACACTACTCTAACGCAGCAGGAGTAATGCACTACATGATCCGCATGGAGCCATTCACCACCCTGCATATCCAGCTGCAGAGTGGCAGGTGGGAGCCCTGACTAGTCCCTGATATTTCATAGGATTTCCTGGTATGTTCTGGTCTCATGTATTGTAATGTTGTTGCTGTTTAGGTTTGACTGTGCAGACAGACAGTTCCACTCGGTAGCAGCAGCCTGGCAGGCTCGCATGGAGAGTCCTGCTGATGTCAAAGAGCTCATCCCAGAGTTCTTCTACTTCCCCGAATTCCTGCAGAACATGAACGGTGAGCAGCCACATTCCTGTGTTCAAATTAAAGCGAGTTAATCCGATCATCTTTGTCTTTGAGATGTACAGCCGATGTACAATATTGCTGGTATAAAGAACTGTGTTTGCTTTATGTTTGCTATAGGCTTTGACCTGGGATATTTGCAGATATCTCAGGACCCTGTGGCAGATGTTCTGCTGCCCAGCTGGGCCACATCAAGGGAAGACTTTATCAGGCAACACAGGAAAGCCTTGGTAGGCCTACACAAACAGCCACGGTCTTAAAACGCTCAGTGGCTCTCATTTGTCTTTGAAGATATAAAGACGACTATTCACAATAATAGCAATTTGTCTGTTTGACCCCAGGAATGTGAACATGTGTCCAGTCACCTCCATGAGTGGATTGACTTGATTTTTGGTTACAAGCAGAGAGGAGAAGAGGCAGTGAATGCACTCAATGTCTTCTACTACTGCACTTATGAGGGTGAGGCAAGAGTGAACCATTTTTCTTATTAGTGAAAAAAAAATCTTCACATCAGTTTCTAGGCTAAACACATGATGTGTTATTCCATGTTCTTGTATGAGACTCACTCTTGCTCGTTGTTTGGCTTGTCTGCAGGTGCAGTAGATCTGGATGCAATTGCCAATGAAAATGAGCGTAAGGCCCTGGAAGGCATCATCAGCAATTTTGGGCAGACACCCTGTCAGCTCCTTAAAGTACGAATCCCTGAGTAGCTTACAGCTACTTTTCAAATTCAATTGTCAACAGAATTCTGTGACATTCTGTTTGACAAGAAGTCGTTTTATATTACATTCCCATCTCCACCCAGGAGCCTCACCCTCCCCGTATGTCAGCTGAGAACGCAGCCAGACGGCAGGCCCGCATCGACACTGTGCCCCTGAATATCTTCGAGCAGCTCACAAAACTTCGGCCGTTTGTGGAGGTGGGCTCCTAAAATGCATTTAAGGCCTGTCGTGAGCTCGTTACTTATTTCTAATAAATAACCGAGTGTGTGTGTGTGTGTGTGTGTGTGTGCCTCAGGTGGTGAGCGACGACCTTCCTCTGGTCCAGGCCGTGGTACCAAAGAGCCAGGCTCGCTCCTTCATCATCCAGGGCTCAGACATATTGGTATGGACACTTTAAAACTAGTTTAAATAGTTGAGGTTTATTGTTTTCATATTACGCCACTCTCTCTCTCTCTCTCTCTCTCTCTCTCTCTCTCTCCAGGTGACTGTGAGTTCCAACGGGTTGATAGGGACACACAGCTGGCTTCCGTATGACAAAAAAATAGCCAACTACTTCACCTTCACTAAGGATCCCACTATGACTAATCCCAAGTGAGTGCCCCCAGGGAACGTATCATTTCTTGTTAAAATATCACATAATAGATAGCATGAAAAAAAGGTTATTGTATGGTGTCTAATGATGATTACTGCCTTACTACATTACTCCAGGAATGTAGCTTATCACGCGATACTTCTTTGAATTACCTTTTCTGTCTTTTTTTAAATTTAGAAATCTTAAACCCAGTGAGTAAAAACTTATTTTACAGAATTTCAAAAGGTGCATAAAATTCCCCTGATGGTTGAATAGAAGCATAACATCTGTCTGGCAATTGAAACCTCCAAGTCCACTTAATTAGTTTAAATTTGCTTTAAGGGACCTTATTTTAACCTGATCTTGAATGTGGATCACATAAACAGAGAATAGATCAAGATAAGAAGCATTTGAACACTGAGTTTCAGTAGGTTTGTAGATGTTGTGACAGATTAATGTGCCCCAGTTCACTCTCATTTCTTGTTTCTAATTTGTTTTGATCTTTTTCAATCCTGCTTTTGTGGTGCAGAACGCAGCGTTTTTTGAGTGGACCTTTCTCTCCTGGGGTGGAGATCAGCGCTCACTTGCTGGTGGTGTCCAACGATGGGCGCCTGCTGTTCAGCGGAGGACACTGGGACTGCAGTCTTCGCGTCACCCAGCTGGGCAAGGGCAAGCTGGTGGGCAGGATCTGCCGGCACATTGGTGAGCTCTTATTGTTGTACAGCTAACTCATACATAATATTTGTTCAAATTGTGCATATTTATTTCTTTGTTATTTGTGTGCCCCACAAAGATGTTGTTACTTGTTTGGCACTGGATCTCTGTGGCATCTACCTCATCTCTGGTTCAAGGGACACTTCCTGTATAGTGTGGCAGGTTCTACAGCAGGTAAATATCTTCAAACCTGTCTTTGTTTCGACTCACATGCTGCATAACTAAGCAGCAGCTTCACATATGGATTCTCCTTTTCATCCTTCAGGGTGGCTTTTCCACTGGCCTGTCTCCCCGGCCGGTGCAGGTTCTTTGTGGACACGACCAGGAAGTCACCTGTGTGGCCATGAGCACTGAACTGGACATGGCTGTCTCAGGGTCAAAGGTCAGAGATGTTATACTGAACACAAAACACTTGCTGAGTTGGACTCATTTTGCATATTAATTTAACAGTATCCAAGTGATGCATGTACCAAGTTTGTTAAATTAAAAGTCTTTAATATCAGTAGTCCGTACTGCTTCAGTTCTGTGGGTTTGTGCAGGTGTGAAAAATGCTGTTCAGCCTAAATAACCACAAGGGGGCTATATGTAGTCATATAGTTATATTTTAAATAATGCATGCAGCTTGATATTTGCATTCATTTCTCCAGGTGTATTGTTGTGGAGTATTTGGCCTTAGCGCTGGGGGGGACCACTGTGCAGCAACAATGTACTCCGCTGGAAATAAGGAGCACAGCCAAAATTAGAAAGCAATATGTGTGTCTCATTTTAACACAAATTAAACGATTTGATTTTTAATAATGTAATAATTTATTATTTCATAGAATGAGGGTTTTAATTTACTTTTTAGATTTATTTAAAATGTGCCACTCCTCTTTGAGCCTGGCCACCCATCCAAAATTTTCTAGCTCCGCCTCTGTTTTCAGTATCATTTTAG